GCAGCAGCAGCAGGTACACCAGCAGGTGGGTGGAGCAGGTCTGGAGGGCGCGGCGGTTCAGACTGGAGCTGTGTCCGCGCAGACACACCAGAGTGATCTTGACGTAGGTCAGGAGGATGGAGCCGATGGAGGCGCTCAGCAGGAGGGCCGTGTAGAGCAGCCCGTACACGTTGTTGATCAGGGTACTCTCACACGACAGCTTAAACAGAGACGCATTATCACAGTACGGGTTTGTGACCAGGGAGCGACAGCGCGACAGACGCAGTGACAGACCAATCAGAATCCCCACCATGACAAAGGCCACGCCCCACGCAGACGCTATCAGCTTCACTATCATGCGCCCACTCATGATGGTGGAGTAGTGCAGCGGGTTACAGATCGCCACGTAACGGTCAAACGCCATGATCATCAGGATGGTGTGGGACGCTGTGGCGAACATGTGTGTGACAAAGGCCTGTGTGGCACAGGCGCTGTACGAGATGAGAAGCTTCTCGGGCGCTCGCAGGAGGTCGAACAGTAAACGCGGGATGATGTGTGTGCCCCCGATGATGTCGTTGAGGCAGAGGTTACACAGCAGCAGGTACATGGGCTGGTGCAGGCTCCTGTCCCTCAGGATCACCACACAGTTCCCCAAGTTCACCAGCATCATGAGGACATACGACAGCAGGAAGCAGCAGAAGACAGGCAGGACAGAGGAGTGAGACAGGGACAGGCCTTCGATCTGCAGCAGAGAGCCGCTCACGTTCTCCATTCACCTGGGGAGGGTCAAAGGAAAAGTAAACATCTCACACACTGGACACATGAGATACTGTGTGGATGTAAAACATAAGAACTGTGCATATGACCCTGTCCTGACACATGACAGAACATGACATATCAAACATGTACACTACGCTTTGTACTGATGACGTCAGGCAGCATTGTAAAATGTGTTATGATTCACAGGATTATGTCCTTTGAGTAGTGACATGGATGTGCTGCAGGGTTCTGTGATTGGACCACTGTTATTTGCTTCATAATAAATAACCATCTAGACTGCTGTAGGTGTCACCTGGTACTATGAGGAGCAGGGGTGCCCGCACTTTTTCAGCATGTGAGCTACTTATAAAATGACCAAGTCAAAATGATCTATTTACTACAAAGCCAAACAAACTGTACTGCACTGAAACACTCTGCGCCCTTTTTTGGACCCTCACTCAGTTTGAGAACCTTCTTTAATCCCTCTTCCACTAGCACTTTTCAGAAAACTCTAAAGAAAGTGAATAAATCGGGTAGGTTTTCAAGTTTTCCTGTTTTCAAGTTCCTAACTGGAGTTACATTCTCTCAAAGCAGGTCTACAACGCAGAACAGGTCTACTGCGACATGTGGCTGAAGTTTGCCAATAAAATGCACAAATGCATGTGTGTTTGTCATGATGTGTCCACTAGGCCTGAATATACTGACACATGAAATGAACTAAAACAAGATCTTTGGCCACAATTAAATTTGAATATACATTTTAGGGTTTAGAGAAAAATGTCATTCAATTTATTTGTCTGTGATGTACAACAGGTTAGAGTACTTAAGATTTTGCTAAAAATTTTGATTAATTTTGACTAAAATTTGAATTCTGGTGAAGTTTGGGCAGCAGATGTAACATACGTCGACAACCATAATGTAAACAAGGGCGAAAACTTGTCTAAAGCACACACAATTTAGGATTAAACTAATAAAAATAAACGACAACACCTTTTATTTAGTTAAATGAAGGTTTAAACTGTCCTTGTGTGTAAATTGCAACATTTTAGATGGAGTTTTCTGCAGAGGGATTCTGTTTTACTGCTCAGCGCTACTTCCAATATATATTTTTTTTACTTTTCATGTTCACTTTTTACTCACAGTTAGTATTCCAAATTAGGGTTGTAAAAAGTATTGAACATCAGATACCAATCGATACTAAAACTATTAAAACTAGATTTTAAAAAAGTCATATTCATGGGAGAGAAATGAACTTTTCCAAAATAGTTTTAGAATGATTTTGAGCTGAATCAGAACAAGTTTAAGAGCACACAGACCCACAGACCACTGTGGAACCTACCTGGATGACTAACATTACATATATGACCACTTGGTAATAAAGAAATAAAAAATACTACTAATATTTGATGTTAACAGTCACATTCTATTTCCTATTATCATCACGGTATTGGAATTGGTACTGAGTATTGAGTTTATTCGTTAGTATCACAATCAAGTTTGAAATTTTAGTATTGTACATACACTACTGGTCAAAAGTTTTAGAACACTGTAATTTTTCCAGATATTTATCACAATTCAAGTCATGCAAGTTCAATGAAGAGCTTGAAATGGTACAAAGGTAAAAACTGAACAGACAGAGGTTAAAAAAATAAGATAAAAGATACAAAACACAAGTCCAAGCTCTGCTAAAACAACCTCAGGAAAAAAGAACAAAGATAGTAAAGCTTGAAAATATAAAGTGTCCAGCACAGTATCCAGACTTAAACCCAATCGAGCTGGTTTGGGATGAACTGGACAGAAAAGTGAAGCAACCTACAAGTGCCACACATTTATGGAAACTTCTACAACAGACTTGGGAAGAACTTTCTGAACAATATTTGATTTCTATTGTAAAAAGAACAAGTCACGAGTGTGTTCAGCTGTTCTATCTGCCAAAGGTGAACACACACATCAATCAAAAGTTAAGAATACATTTTGGTAGACAGTAAAAAAACTGTAAAAAAATTTAAAAAGTGTGGTGTTGTAAAACTTTTGACCGGTAGTGTATATGTAGTTACTTCCCAACACTGGGAATTACAGAGATATTAAACATAAACTAGGACAAAATCTAGGTTTAAATCTATGATATATCTTCCACTGTAACTCAGATTAAAAAAACTGTGACAGTATTAGAGTTATTTTCAACATAAATGTGAAGAGATCATACGTGGTCTTGGTCTTGTTCTGGTCTGGGCTCTGGTCTTACTCTAGTTCCTGGTCTAGGCTCTTGTCTTGCATCTGGTGTCAGGTCTGGTCTTGGGTCTGGTTCAGCCTGGACTTGGTTTGCTCTGGAATTTTTATAAATGTGTTTGTTCCCTCCTCACCCTCCCGGGAGGATTTGGTGTCTGTATTATTCGAATTCTAAAATGGCGGAGGATGAAGAACAGGACATGGCTGCTGTCTGCGATCACGTGTTAATCGTTTAAAATGCCCATGTTATGCATTTACTGATCTGTGTGATAATGTTGTTTACTCGTCACAAACAGACCTGGGGATGTGTTTCGTTTCATTCACAAAAGTTTGAGGGATCTTTAGTCACTTATTTTCAAGACGCCATATTGTCGATCAACGCCTGTTTTCACCGGCGTGTTCCAACTGCTCTTTATACTTCTAAAGATATTATAATTAGAAAGAGCAAAGAAGCAAAAGTTTCCTAAGTGTGCCCACTTCACTTGTTAGACTATCAGGTCACTACTGGGTTATATTACTTGTTGATTGGACTGGCTGAAGCAGTCGCACGGGCAATGAGGCAGTTATTATTTATTATTATTAATGGTGAGGAAAACGACAGTTTTTCACCTGAGTTACACATGATTCTGGATTGAATGTTCAGTCAAGCTGAGCTAAACTGTCCCGTGTCTGTAATTTTCAGATAACTGGAGACCGTTGTTGATTCTAAAGACTCAAGGCCACAGTAAAGTCACTCCTGCGAAGATTTTACCAGGTTCTCAAAATGAAAAACAGCTTAAAGGTTGTATAGAGGATTTTCCAAGGAACGAGAAATCCAGCGACTGTTTGTCCTTTTTCAAATGCTGCGCATGTGTGAAACCACCCCCCCTCCCCTACAGCTCCTACGTAGAAACGCCTCCTCCCTCCTCCTCCTTACGCCAGAAACAGGTTTGTTTACAGCCGGTGCTGCACATGACTTGTAAACAACTAACTACAGTGTTGGTTAGGCAAGACGGAGAAGTGAGGAGCGGGGGGAGGGGGGGCGCGGACATTTCGTGCGCGGACGAGAAGTGAGGAGCAGGGAGAAGAGCGGAGCAGGGAGAGAGGAGAGAGGAGAGAGGAGAGGAGAGAGAGAGAGGAGAGGAGAGGGGAGCGGTGCGCGGAGATTCCGTGCGAATGAACTAGCTACAACACGCAGCAGCAAGCGGACTCTTTCTTTGCCTTGAAAATTACGTTTTCAGACATAGGATATCGCTTTCGTGTCCTGAAAAACGTTTGTGTAGCTCTTGGAAATAAAGTATGTTTTCATAATAAGCAGAAGTGACCTGTCCAGGAGTAATTTGTGGACCAGTGGTTCAGTCTTTAGACCCTGCGTCTGCTTCAGTCGCGCCATCGCTGGAATGAATCTTCAAGAATCACCTTAGTTTGGCTTCGCTTTTCCTTGCTTTTCCCCTTGTCTTCTTCTTTCAGCGACCTCAAAAATGGACTTTCTTTTGCGGCGAACTGCTCCTGGATTCTTGTCGCCATTGCAACAAACAAACTTTGTGCGAACTGCGAGGAAGATATAGGTAAAAAAAAAGCCGCTAAGAACTGTTGCGTTGGTGGAGTAAACAGCGTCTGTGCGTCTTGCGTCTGTGGACTGCGTGACAGTCGTACGTAAACCACGTACCGGCGGCGCAGGCAAGTCAGTTACGATAGAAACGTAGGGAGATTGATTGACAGCCTGTCAGCTAACAGATAACGAGGCAGTGTCGTTATCTATTGGCAAATGTTTAGCCCCACCACGTCCAGAGTTGATGAATTTTTATTCTCTTTTTTTTGGTCATCATAATTACAAGGCTACTGCACCTCTATAATGCTATCATTGACAATTTGAAACAAAAAAAAATCCTCCATACAACCTTTAATGCTCTTTCAAAAATCTTCTTATTCTGTCTCTGTCCTGTCTCTCTCACTACTGTTTTTGTTTCATTATACACAAACCTTATAGTGCTATATGTTTAACACCACATTTATTTGTAATAACAAGACCAGGCAGGGCTGTAGAATATTTTTTATTTATTTCTCTTTCTCATGGAGAGTGGAGCCCAAAGCCGTGCCCAGGCACGACGTATGTCCCTGCACTGCACTCCGTAGATGATGGGGTTCACCGCTCCGGGCCCTGTGAAAAGAACGATGGAGACCAGTTTCCTCTGCTCCGTGTACTCAGGGAAACGGTGCAGAGTAATGACCATGATTCCGCTGAGCAGCAGCAGCAGGTACACCAGCAGGTGGGTGGAGCAGGTCTGGAGGGCGCGGCGGTTCAGACTGGAGCTGTGTCCGCGCAGACACACCAGAGTGATCTTGACGTAGGTCAGGAGGATGGAGCCGATGGAGGCGCTCAGCAGGAGGGCCGTGTAGAGCAGCCCGTACACGTTGTTGATCAGGGTACTCTCACACGACAGCTTAAACAGAGACGCATTATCACAGTACGGGTTTGTGACCAGTGAGCGACAGCGCGACAGACGCAGTGACAGACCAATCAGAATCCCCACCATGACAAAGGCCACGCCCCACGCAGACGCTATCAGCTTCACTATCATGCGCCCACTCATGATGGTGGAGTAGTGCAGCGGGTTACAGATCGCCACGTAACGGTCAAACGCCATGATCATCAGAACCGTGTGTGAGGTCGTCCCAAATATCTGGGCTACAAAGGCCTGTGTGGCACAGGCGCTGTACGAGATGAGACGTTCTTCGGGCGCTCGCAGGAGGTCGGACAGTAAACGTGGGAGAATGTCTGTGCCCCCGATGATGTCGTTGAGGCAGAGGTTACACAGCAGCAGGTACATGGGCTGGTGCAGGCTCCTGTCCCTCAGGATCACCACACAGTTCCCCAGGTTCACCAGCATCATGAGGACATACGACAGCAGAGAGCCGTAGAAGACAGGCAGGACAGAGGAGTCAGACAGGGACAGGCCCTGTAACTGCAGCAGAGAGCCGCTCACATTCTCCATTCACCTGGGGAGATATGCACATGTGTCATGTGTAAGCTTGTGCATGTGCACATGTGTGTGTGTGTGTGTGTGTAACTATAGAAGCTCATGTCGCTGCTGTAAATCTTGTTCTCAAGAAGCTTGGAGTTGATCCTTATAACTTTAATAGTTAACACCCAATCTCAGACCTGACACTTACAGTAAAATCCTTGAGAAGGTAGCTGTATATACTGAGACAGTATTGGTTAGAGTTTCAAATGATCTCTTAGTTTCTGCCGATGGCGGTCTACTGTCCATCCTTGTAGATTTTTGACATGGCCTCAAATAAAATCCTACGTACCCAATTAGTTGACACTGGACATTGGTAGCAGAGTATCCACGGGGTCTCAAAAGTCTTAAAAAGGTCTTAAATTTCATGTTCCTAAATTAAGGCCTTAAAAAGTCTTAAATTATAAAACCAAGTCTTATTTTTTTCACAAAGGTCTTAAATTTCACGAATCCACTCGGGTGTCCCAGCACAACTTTAGTAAACTACAAAGCCGCACCACCTGTAGAACACACAAACACACACGGAGCAGACGGCCACCATGCGTACGGTTTATTTGTGAAAAAAGTTTGAAAATAGACCATAACATTTTAATTTAACGGCAGTGCGCCTTATAATCCAAAGCGCCGAATAGCCCGGAAAATATGGTACTAAACCGGGAGCAGTGCAATGTAAAACGGAGGGAGTATGCACAAATAATACTTTGTTTACTCATTGCCACCGGTGCCAGAAACCAATCAGTTGAGTGGAGGAAGACGTTGGATGGATCATGGGGAAGTGTAGGTCTCATAGACTCTAGATGTAGTACTGTAGTTAGCTGGTCATGATTAGAATTGTATCTGGTGTTTTTCGCCCACATAATGGGTGCAATGTTGGTCTTAATTTTCATGTAAGTGATCTTAAAAAGGTCTTCAAAAAGTCTTAAATATGGGCTAGTCAAACCTGGGGATATCCTGGGTAGGGATACAGAAGTTTTACTCAAAGGCTCCACATCTACTCATCAATAATCAGCTTTCATTTTCATCTTTTAACATTTTACCATTTTTCCAGTTACAGTTATTTTCTCTACTGTTTTCTTTATTTTGTAGTTTGAAGTGTACTATGACGCCTGAAATAAAATGTATTATTAGTATTTTTACGTAACGCACACGTACATGAGGATTAAAGTACGAGAGCTGTTTAGATTTATTCTGTTCTGACTCTGAGCAAACATGAAGGCCTTGGATCATGTGAGTGTTCAGGTCCTAGATGAGGAGCTGGAGTTTTGGTTCGAACTGTGAAAAGAAAATCATAAATCGTCTCTGTTGCTCTAAGAGTCGCCTGATTATTTTAAAATTTCACAAATAAAATGCACCAAACTGAAGGAAATAGTTCATAGCTTCTTCAAAGTTTCAAAGAACAGACACAGCCTCCACTTCGCAACATAACAGTTTTTAGTCGTGTTTGGTCAAGGATTAAACCAGGACTAAACTAGAATTAAACCAGGACTGAACCAGGACTAAACCAGGTCTAAACCAAAGCTAAACCATGACTAAACAAGGACTGACCCAGGACTAAACCAGGGATAAAACAAGGACTTAAACCAGGTCTACAATAGGACTAAAGCAGGTCTAAACTAAACTCAGGTCTACACCAGAACTGAACCAGGTCTAAAATATTGTACATACACTTAATTTAAAAGTAAAAACAAAAAGAAACTCAGTAAAAACAACAGGAAACATATATAAAAACAGGACTAAACCAGGACTATATCAGGACTCGAACCAGGACTAAACCATGTCTGAACTTGGGGTAAAAAAGGACTCAAATCTGGACTAAACTTGGTCTGAAGTTGGACTAAACCAGGACTAAACCAGGTCAGAAGCATGATTAAACAGAACAAAGTATTTTTCAAAGCAAACTACATTTTCAATAAGACCTTACATGATCCTTGGTCCGATCTTTAGTCCGGATTAAGTCTTGGTGAAGTCCTGGACTCTGGTTTGGTCTGGGTTTTTATAAGCCTCCATCATCACCTCTCCCTCCTCGCAGCGCTCATTTTGTCGACAAATACATTGCGTCATATTTTCGAAAATGTAATATTCATAGTCTGTCTCCCTCTGCCCAACACTCTCTTACACATGATGATGTCATCAGGTGGTGCTCCTCTGGGTTTTTAAAGTCTTGTTCAATCTATGGTACAAATTGCTCTGTTTTCTGATCTATGTTGTTTCCTCACGCAGAGAGACCTGGAGTTGTGTTTTTATTTATCTGCAGCCTCAAAGCTCAAAATGCTCTTTTCCATCTTGTGACGTCATGAAGTTTAGATTTCAAAATATGCAGGGTTTGTGTGTTAAAATAAACCTATTATACAAAATGTATTTTTTTAGAGCTTTTAACCATGTTATACTTTACCCTCACAATTCACACACCATGTCATGTGTATGTTAGAGGGATCTTTAGGCGCTTATTTTCAATACGCCATATCGTTGGTCAACTCGTGTTTTCACTGACATATGCAACTGCTATGTACTTAAATTTTTCTCCAATTTTATTTTCTTAATGAGTGATACATGTAGATTCAACAGTGTGGTATAATAATTTTGTTACTAATGAAAAAAAAAATCTGCTGCTTTCTAGTGTGATCTGAAGTTCATCAGAGATGCCAACTCTTTGTTGTGTTGCGCAGTCAGTGGACTTTACTCTTTTAAGTTGTTTTAGAAGAATATTTAAATTTAAAAAGTGCAGATTATAAGATAATGGTCCATGGGTGTCAGAGACAATAGTATAATAGGTCATTTTTAAACATGTGTGAATGAAACAAAACACAACTCCAGGTCTGTTCGTGTGAGGAAATAACATTATTAGCCTGATTCATCAGTCGGTTTCACTTCATGGAAACCATCTGACCTCGCAGCATTCGACTTGATGCTAGACAGGTACTTTTTTAAATTTAACCAATCACTGCTATTTGGTGTGACGTATGTAATGCACCAAATCCCGTAGGAAGAAGGGCAGAAGTCTTTCACCTTGATAAAATTCACCAAACATTCTCTTTGTTCCGGCTTTAAATCCTCGATCTCGTCTTCATCTACATTCATCTCGACGCTTTGTTTACTGTTGTGCTGTTCTACATAAGGGACCCAGACAGACGCGACGAGTTTGATGTCATGGCTTCACAGTTCTTCGCTGATTGGCTGGTGTGCGGTCTACAACTTCCGGGGTTCTTGCAAACCATCTAGTGTATTCTGATTCCTGACCTAGTCGCTAGAGAGAAATTAATTTGAGTGGAGGCACGAGGTGGCACCAGCCTGACTAAAACGTTTTAACATGAATCGTATAACATAGGTCGTTAAACAGACCAGAGTGTTGTTCACATGTACCTTGACATGTTTCAGAAGTCTTCTGCATCCTTGTTCAGAAGGGTTGTGTGAAATGACTTGGCCCAGGGAAGCAGCTAAATGAACTGGAGGGGGCTGAGCACTGAACCCTGTGGGACACCTCGGTGGACGAGAGATGAACAAGAGCCACTGAGGGAAATAAACGAATGTCTCTAGTAAAAATTTGCCAGCAGAGGGCAACAGAGGGCAGTATCAAGAGAGGCAGATAAGTCCAGTAGGAGGAATGTATGATTAAACTTGTTACAAGTTGTTGCCGTATCATTCGATCATTCTGGATTTGCCAAGCAGACATTAATATAAAGTTATATTACGTTACCAAAACATAAAATATATTCAGTTACAGCAAAATACCAAATAATAAAATAACTAAAAACTATGTGGTGACATATTTTAGGTGTACCACAGTTAAATACAGTAACTACATGGAAGCAAACAGGTGATGCTACCAAGTCAAGCTAAATTACAAATCCACTCATGGTAACACTTGTTGCTGAACAAATGCAAAGTAAATACATAGCAACTTCAGGAACACATTTAGGGAAAGTTGACCGATATATTTAATTGGGAAACAGCGTGTAATGGACAGACATGACAGAAGAATGTAAACACAGGACACTATAGCTGAGGGATTGCTCTCTCTTTTGTCCCTCGGTGTTAGAAACAGCTGAAAGATCAAATAAACACAGGTTTCTGAGCTCAGTCTGTCTCACGTCTCAAACACTCACTGTGTTTATACATAAGCCCGGAAAACCTCATAACTGACTCAGTCCAATTAAACCAATTTATCAAAATGCAAATAACTCAGGAACTATGACAGTTTTGTTACATTTTGAATCCGCCAGATCACAATGACACATCTTTAGAGGCCAATATGTACTCGGATACCAGTTGCATGTAACCGCACAGTCCGATTTACATCAGGTACAGACTAGGAAAGATGTTCAATCACATGGGGTAAGAGACATGTTCAGTTGAGCTGAGCTAAACTGTCCCTATTGTCTGTGATTTTGGTTGTGTTCTTTGGTTTGTTGATTCTAAAGACTCGAAGCTACAGTGAAGTCACTCCTGCTCAGATTTGCAAGTTCATAAAATGAAAAACAGCTCAATGTGCTCTCAAAAATCTGTCTCTCCTAATGTTTTTTCTTCCTGTTTCTTTACACACAAACATTATATTACTGTATATTTAAGGTTTATTTTATTTTTTAACAAAACCAGAACACAGGGCTGTAGAATATTTATTTATTTCTCTTTCCCTTGGTAAGTGGGACCCAGAGTCGTGCCCAAGCACATCGTATGTCTCTACACTGTACTCCATAGATGATGGGGTTCACCAACCCAGGGCCCGTGAACAGTACGATAGCGACCAGATTTCTCTGCTGCGTGTACTGAGGGAAACGGTGCAGAATAACGAGAAGGGCCCCGCTGAGCAGCAGCAGCAGGTACACCAGCAGGTGGGTGGAGCAGGTCTGGAGGGCGCGGCGGTTCAGACTGGAGCTGTGTCCGCGCAGACACACCAGAGTGATCTTGACGTAGGTCAGGAGGATGGAGCCGATGGAGGCGCTCAGCAGGAGGGCCGTGTAGAGCAGCCCGTACAC